GGAATCAAATAATAGTTTCGAGGAAAGACAGGTTTTGATAGATCAGGGACTATGGTTCTTACAACCGGGTGGTGTTTGTATCTTTCTTGGTATACTCCAATCAATTGTTGTCTGCTATACAAAAGAGTTTGGTTGTCTTACCGGTTGGTATAACTTGGTTGTTAAATGTTACCAACTAAATGTGTTTGATTTCGTCGATAAATATTCTAACCTGGTTCTTGGTTTTTTTAGCTGATATGGTTATTAATTGTCCTGTCTAACTTAGTTTCAAATGTTTTAGTTTCATTTTTAGGTGTTTCGTCCGTGCCAACTATTGTGTTGTTAGTACCATGTCTTGTCACATGTCAAGATTTTAGCATGTTTCTTATTATCAGACAATAGTAATAGAAGTGCCTCCAATTTGTGTTGGTGGCTTGCAGCCTTGTGCAGATTATACTAGTTTAGCGACCTAAATTGTTTGAACCTTTTTTTTTTTGGTTGTTGGCGAGTTATATTTTTTTATTTTTGAGAACCCTTTTAGCCTTCGTAAGATATTATCAAAACAAGTTGGTTGATTTTTCCACCCATAGCATATTTTGATTCCCGTACCAGTATGGCCTTTCTCCTTAATACCTCAATTAGTTTACATCTAAACGATGATAACTCCACCCAACAGCCAATCAATGGCATGGAGTAAATCAAACATGTATAGACATTAATTGCAGGAAAATATTTTATGCAGACAAGAAACCGGGAATTTGATATTGGAAAATGCAGCTTCTTCCTTTTTTTTTTTTTGGGTAAACCGGCAATGTAAAATTAGAATATGGTATTATTACCAGACTAAAATATTATTAGCAATCATCAACACAGGCAAATATATATATATATATATATATATATATATATATATATATTCCCACAAGAAAGATACAAACACCACCCGTTATCAGACCCATAACCCCTGATCTAATCAAAACCTGTCTTTTTGTCGTAACCATCATTGATTCCACCTCGTTAAGATTTAGAAGGCGGAGGGGAAATCAGGTTAATGAATGAGGTAAGTTAGAAGCAAGGCTACCAACATGAGCACATATGCAATCCCTTGGTCAATTGTAGCTCCTGTAACCACAATCATCATCTTTCTCGTCAATTCCATAAATCCAACAAATAGTTTCAAATCAAATTGCTATATAGCATGTTCAGATCATAAGACCGTAAAAGATGGTGAGAGAGAGAGAGAGAGAAGAGATTACCATCGCTGGTGGGAGCTGGAGCCGGAGAAGAGGACTGGGCCTGAACAGAAGGCAGAGCAATGGCAAAAATGAGAATGATAAGAAGAGTCACAAGTCCAAGACAAACCCTTGAAACGGCCATTGTTTTCGTCTTTGTTAGATTTGAGTCTAAAACAAACCAAAAAGAAAGAGAGTAATACAAAATGCTCGATCTCTCTCTGCAACGTCTCTCAAGAATATCTGAAAGAGGCGTACACAGAGAGAGAGAGATAGAGAGAGCTAGAGCGCTAAACAAGATTTTTGGATTTGATTTCTAGTGTGAATAAGAAACCTCACCAATGGGCGGTGCTGCACTAGTTATATATATATATATTTTATGTTTTTAGACGCCTATTTTTTATCTTGTCCTGACAGTTTTTTAGTGATTGGTAAAAGAGGGAGAAGCAATAGAACCGGTTTATCAACCAATGTGTGTGGGGCCCAGCGCGTGCTTCTGAGGGCAGGCCGCCTGACGGTCGAAGAGCGTGTTTCTAAATAGGAATATAATAATAATGATGGTAAGGTAAAATATGAACGTAATTCCGTGTTAATGAATTATAAGTTAAAAATGTTGTGTTTAATAAAAAATTTCTTATAGGATAATTATTTATTCATAATTTTTGTCTGATCAAGACCTTTTCTTCACTCTGTTTATTCCTATTTTTATAGAAAAATGGTAGTAGTGACAGGTTTCCTTCTATTTTATTCCTATATTGTTGTGTGTGTGTGTGTATATATAATATAAAGATATGTATGTGTGTATATTCATCAGTTGAAGAGGTTAACGGGAATTAGCAGTTAATTGATCTTATAAACAGAGTGATGGGAGCTATAGCACATAAAACATTAGTGTTTGATCTAAATCTTCATTAACACTCAATTGCGTAAAACAAGTAACAACAACTATATTGTAAAGTGAACATGTATTAAAATGAAGAACAGAAAGCTACCAACACGAGAATATATATATGTATACACACAATTATATATAAGTGGTATATTACGTCGTCTACCGAAGCAGCTGGAACCTATTCTATGAATCATTATGAGGAGGCCAAAGGAAAGCTCCCCATAGCATACTTTTCTCTTATCCATTAACATCTCCGG